CTTTTATATTTTAATTTTTTATATGTAGTTTAACTTGAATAACTAATATTAATTTAATAATTGAAAAATATCACATGATCAGCAGGAAATTCTTCATTCGAAGGAAATGTAAATAAGGAATTTTTAAAGAAATGTCTGCCAGTCTGTTTCTCTGTCTGTCAATACCTGAAGTTCAGCTGAACAAATTTTCAGCAAATTATCTGAGTTTATAAATAGAAATATTTTTCTAATTAAAAATTCTAAATTCCGTGTTGAGTACAATGAACTTATGAACTTTTTGAAGAGATCAGAGCTCGTAAACAGGAGTAGGAAACAAATTATATTTTCTACTATATCTAGGGAATTAATTGATGGAATATGAAATTTAATATTTAATTTCTGGAATCTAACTGGCAAACTTTTCAGGGAATTTGGATGGCACAGAGCGAAACTTTTCTAAGAGATAAACTTACATTTTTCTAGGTATATTAACTAAAAATTTAACTTCGTCTTAAAAATCTGGAAGAACTGTCATAGGTTATTTTCATAATCTTCTACAACATTTTCGCTAAACCAGACAACACATCTTGCGGTCGGTTATGTGCTAAACACACCGATTTTTTTTAGATATTTGAACTTTTATAAGGTATTGAAATATTCAACGCTGTACCAGTTCTTTTTTTTTCGAATACTTTACAAGATTCAAACAAATTTTTAATTGATAGAGGGTTCTGTTGGCTGGGGTGTAAATTATTTTTATTTCTGATTCACCTATATTTTCATTTTTAATATTTCGAAAATCTTAAAATTTGATGCAAAAATTCTTTTACGATATAAAAATAACTACTAGTTAAGTAAAATCATAATTATTTTATTTTAGCTTTTCATGAAATCCATCTGTATTAATATAAAATTTTAGTTTTCCCATTAGTTTCCTAATGGAATTAAATTGAATTTCTTAATAAAAAATTTTCGCATCAAAAATTTATACAAAAATATTTTCTATTATTGAAGAAATTTTATACGTTGCATTCGGAAAATTTTCTTAGCATAACAATTTTTATTAGAATTTTTGAATTTATTTTGAACTTAAAATATAATATTTATTTTTTCCTAACTTTCATGATAATATAAAATGGTGTGCATATCAGTTAATTGATTTTCATATCTTTTACTTAAAAAATAAAATTATAAAAATAACTTTTTTCCTTTTTATAAGGTTTTCCTTTTCAAAATTAAAATAAAAAGTTCATTATTGTCGTTTTCGTAATCATTTATTTTCATTAAGCTATAATGGAACGAAAGTCCACTATTATGAACGGGTGGGCTACCAGAAAAGAGCACTTCTTCTTTACGTATATAAAGTAAATTTTATTATTATGAAAGTTAAAACGGTTCGACTTTTACACTTTAAATGGGCTACAAGAAAAAAAAAGGAAATTTTTAACAATTAAAATTTCTGATATTATCATTGTAATTAAGATATTGTGCATAGAAGAAAATAGATTTTAATTAGAACCACCGAGAAAGTATTAAAAAAGTAAAACAATAATTACAATAAAATAAATTGCTTAAAATGGTTATGAAAAGTTAAATATAAAGATTTCTTTTCGTATTTATATAGAAGTTACAAAATAATAACTGTATAACAGCTATTTAAACTTTTATAATATTCACATACACATAGATATTAAAACTAAAATTAAGGTTCAACAAAAATAGAATCAATTTATGAAATTTAGTTAATTAAAAGTTTTAAAAGTACAAAAGTACAAATACAAAACCTGTGGAAATTGTTTATAAGATGGTATGGCAAGAAAATGTTACTACATTACATAATAAAGTCAATATTTAATCTTACAAGATTCATTTTTCGCAAAGAAGGTATAATGCAAATATTTTTTTTCGTCCGAAAATAAAAAAAATTACCTGTCCTGCAGGACAGGTAAATGAAAAAAAGCTTGAAAATAAAATTAGGTATTCGATTATCTTTTCTTCTATAAATCACTAAAATTTTCTGCACTCTTAATATTTCCCGAAACAAAATTCATACAGGTTTAAAAAAAATTTTAATTTTAGAAATAAAACAATTTTTTGCATAGGAAATATATCATATATAGTATCCTTAAAGGATTAAATCGTAATATGAATAAAATTTTTAAAAATACAAAACTCAACCACAATTCTGTGTCGAAAATTTAAACTTGATGTAATTTTGTTTGCTTTAAAGAACACGAAAGTGATAATAACAAACTTGGAGTTTATCTGTTTATGTACGAGTATACATTTAGTTTAAATCTTTTACCAAAAACAATATTACTTCTGAGTTTATAGAAAGAAAATAATCCTTGCTAGTTTTAATTACGAAATATTTGTAGTTGAATGTTTAATAATAGTTATAAGTAATTAAATTCTGATAAAAATATACAGAATGCAACGAAATACCTATACGTATGTAAAAAATATTTCTACAATAATAATTATTATAAAATTTGTACTTTATTAAATAATGTTATACACAAGTATATTGATATAGATTTTAAAGTTACCTGAATACCTTCTCACCTACATTAAATTTTAATTTTATTCTAAAAGTTTATTTTAATCATGCATTCACATTATGAGTTCTCAACACAAGCCGGGCATATAATTTTATACAAGAAATCGAAAATTCTGTCGCTTTCTATTTTAGTGTAAAACTAAAATCATTGAAGTTATTTAGGTAACGAATTTATTCTTAAATATGATTACATACAGATAGATGGGAATAAAGTAAGAATTTTTAATCAAATTTACATATTTCAAATATTTTATGAGTATTATCCCAATTTTCTATTTTCTATTTATGTTCATTCATATGTTTATAAGTCTCTTATAAAATGTTGAACCCATGGTGAGATTGTATATGTATTGAATTGAAAATAATTATAATATTCATTCATTATCTGTATTCATTTTTTTAGTATTTTGAAAGGATTCAAGATTTTTCAAAAGTTTCTAAGTATGTATAAGTCAGTACAAAAGTTAAGTAAATTGAAAAGATTTAAATTAAAAAATTCAATCTAAATTTTTAAAGATTATTAGAAGGGAGATGTATGAGGAATTTTCTTTACAGAGTACCACTAATTTTAAACTATACAAGTTTCATAGAGTATTTTGGAATTATTATAAAATGATATGTGACAGACACTGATTTCGAACTCATTAAAATTTTTTAATTTACAATTCTTTTGGCATTAAAATTTCAATATTAAACTTTACTACTTTATTTTATTGAAGTTTACTGTGTCCATTTAACTTTTGTTAAAGAAAATTTCAAAAAATCAGCACATAGTTTATCCAAATTATATCCTAAAAATATAAATTTTCCACTTGGAATTCTGTGGAAATTACGATCACGCAATATACATAATAATGCAAATAAGTAATACAGTTTTTAGTTACTTGCTATTTTCACAAATAAATTATCAATTTTATGAATTCCGCGAAATTCTTTTTAGCCGACTACAATGTAAATCCGATTTAAATTTTCTCTTGCATCGAATTACATACATTACATACATAGCTTTTCAGTTGAATTTTTCAACATTATGTATGGTTTACGTTCACATAGAATACGAAAACCACAATTGCAAAATAATATGATTTTTTACATTAATGTTGTTGCAGTGTATTGTGAGCGCAGTTCTAATTTCTTAAAAATTTTTAAAGGTCATAATATTATATTCAATATATATGTACATATACATTCATTATATTGTGTTGAAAAATTTATGCAAAATATAGAAAAACAATTTCAAATTTTGATCTATTTCAACTGCCTGCGAGTAAAACAAAGTTTAATATTTTGCAATTATTGCTCAGACCATTTTTATTTTGTGAAAGTGTTAAACTGGTAAATTTCTATCTTTCATATACATACATATATTTACATTTACATGCATGCCTACATTATATATATGACAAAAAGTGAAAAATTTTTTCATTTGTATGGTGTCTTATGCATGTTCACGTACTATACTCAACAATAGTTTCTCATGCTATTTAGGATGCAAAAATGGTATTTCACTTTTTTGCATAATGTAATTTCATCTAGGCATCATACACACATTTGTATAGTAATGATTGGAAAAATATTATTATTTATAGGTTAGGCCCATTTATTGGAAAAAATATTTGCTTTCGAAGTGAAACATTTTTAAGATATTCATTTTACTTTAATTTTGGGTATAGATTCAAATTGTTATTTAATCAAAAATAATGGGACTTTTTTTTTTTTTTTGAAAAAGAGAAAAATTAATTTTTTCCACAAGCTATTTTCCTACTTTTGAATTTCAACACCAGACATTGCTAATTTTATTAGAATCATTATAGGACCAAATGCCAAAATGCCAAAATTTTATGCTAATTCCTTCTCTTCTCTTTAAACTTATGTATAATGTTGATTTTTTAAGTATTTTTATTTTAAACGCAGGAGTAAATTATTGGTTATACTTGTGCTAAATTTATAATGCAAATGGAATTGTGTTAGAAAAATTAAAGAGTTTTCCTAAGGACTAATGTTTTAAAATTTAATTTTAGAAGAGAAAAATTTCAAATTGATTTTATTATTTTAACTATATTGGACAAATAAAAAAGGAATTGGAATTTAATAAAATTGCGTAGAAAAAATGTTTTAGCAAATAAAAATTTTTAGCAATTGTAAGGCATTAAAAACTACTTGACAATAAAATCGATTTCAGTTTGAGAATTTTATTGTCTATCAACCACAACCTATGAAATGAAAAACAAGCTTTAGGAAATTTAAATAAAAAACGAATGAGCAACGTTAAAAAGTTTTGGTTTCAAAAGGTATTCTGTCACACTTTAGCAAATTTCGCCTTATTCATGACATAATTGAGGGTACTGAAAATAATGTTGTTTTAAAATACATAGAAATCTTAATTACATTTATTTTAATTTAAATACTTTGCTACTAAATAACTAAATAAAATACAAATTTTATTCTTTAATCATTTTAGGTTTAGGGGATTGTGCTCTTCGTGGTGTTCAATTAATTGTTGAACCACCAACAGTTAGAAGAGGTCATCATGCAACTTTTAGGTGTCTTTACGATATGAATGGAGCTGAACTTTATTCAGTGAAATTTTATCGTGGTCTATTAGAATTTTATCGATTTACACCTAATGAAAGGCCAAGTACAAAAGTTTTCCCATTTCCAGGTTTTAATGTAGATGTAAGTATATTATACAAAAATATAATAAAATTTTTTGCTATCGAATTTCTTTATTTCAATTGATTTGTTTTTTCAATTGTTTGTTTTATTCATTATAATATCAAAAAAAAAAAAATATATTACAGGTTTCAATGTCAAATGCTACTCAAGTTGTTTTACGAAATGTTGGTTTTCCACTTTCTGGAAATTTTTCATGTGAAGTTACTGCAGATGCACCATATTTTTCAACTGCGACTGCATTTGTACGACTACTAGTAGTTGGTAAGTTATTGAATTTTATTACAACATTTACTTAATTAATTTTTTAAGAACAAATTTGTTCAAAATTTTATTGAGTTATACAAAATACATTTTAGCCTTATATTTAGATTTCTAAATTTTGCAATGCATTATTTATTAAAAATTTAAGCTTTATAGTTGGTCTATTTAGCTAAATTTTTGATTTATCTTTATATTTGTTAGTGTTACTGATGAAATTTAAGGTATGTCCACGAACAGAAACTGCAAAATCGAAATATATTTCAAACATTATTATATATCCGTCAAAACAAACGCAAACCTAATTTTAAAATATTGTGGAAGTTGAAAGTAAGAAATATGTAGGTTAAAAGCAGAAAAAATTTGTTTTCATGAATTTTTTCGCTACCAAATTTTTCTGATTCTCTTTAATCAAATTGATTTTTTGTTATTTTTTTCCACTGATACAAAAAATTCATTCCTTTACTCACTTATCTTTCTATTTATATATAATAATAATATATATGTATACATGCAGATATTACACATTCACATTTTTTATTAAATCGATATGAAATTATATTTACAATTTCACTTGAATCTGGCATTCAATTAAATCAACAACATATTTAAGTTTATTACTATTTTATTTAAAAAGTGTACATGACTAGAATAAGAGTAAGTAAAAAATTTAATATTTTATTTCAAAGTATAAGATGAATACACATATACACTTGTGTATTAGAAAATACACCTAGTGAGAATGTTTTAATATAAATGCAGAATATTAAAAGAAAACTTTTAAGTATACGGAAGAGGAAATTTTGATTTTATATCAATTTAAAATTACCGCGTTGCAGAGAAAAGAAAATTGAAATTTTTATTTTTCTTATTTTTCCCTTTACATTTTTATATTTTCTTTATCTTTTGATATACATGTTCATACATAAATATATATTTAATATGTGTATATGCATACATTTTAATATTGATACGTATAATAAATTTATAACAACGTTTATAACATTTTAATGAATTTTTTGGGGCTTATTCTTGTTATCGAATCTGTAATATTTATCGTAAAGGTTTCAAAAACTTAATTATAGACAGGAACGAATTGCGTAAAGTGTTTTATGTTAAAATAATATTGAACTTTTTACAATTAAGATAATCATCAGTTAGTAATTCGGTACTATGAATAAGCCTAATTGGGCGATGAAAATTGAAAATATAAAATTAATTGGAAATTTGTTTTAAATTTATTAATTATTATTACAAGTAATAAGCAATAAATAAAATGTACTATATTCGTAATTGATTAAATAATGTAGAAGTGCAATGCTTTACTTATATTTATTTTATTTAATAAGTTTTTCTTCACAATTATACATAACTGTATTTAGGTAAAATTCGAAGTTTTTTAAATTTTCATCAAAATTTTAAATTTTACTCACATGAATTCAATTTTTATCTAACTGGAATAACTATCAAGACTTTAAAACTATTATTCTTTCATTTGAAAAACTGCATTCCGTAAGAACTATATGATTGCTGTGATACTTTGTTTTTTCACACTTTTTATATCGTACCGTTAAAATATTCATTTTTCAAGGATCAGACAATCTTTATGATAATGTGAATATGTATATGAATAGTAAAATATGCACAATAGTTTCTCTATTAAACTTAAAAGAATTTTCATTTTTATTTTGTTCTAATAATTCTAAACTCCCTATGTTAGTTATAAAAAGAATCATGCAAAAGAATTTTTTTGTTACTTTCACATTTTACTCTTTGTGTTTTCTTTTACTAACTGTGCAACATTTTTAAATTTCATTTTATTTTTTAAGTGAAAATATTCTCTTACGTATAACCGTAGGTATTACATGAGAATATTAACAGAAAAAACTTTTAACTTAGTTAATTTTTAATAGCGCGGAAAAAAGTGTAGAGGAAGTTTGATTTTCCCTTTTCTATTATATGAAAAAAAAAATACTTAAAATTATCATGTATTCGCTTTTGATATAACAATAAAATATTTATAGATACACTCACGCAATGAGTGCTTTATTAAAAAAAGCAAGCAGATTTAAAGAATTGATACTGCATGTTATCAAAAGAATAGAGAACATCTGTATGTTGCACTTACTTGTTTAACAATACTTATGATATGATTTATCCCATTAGGTTATATATGTATGTTTGTATATTATTAAATTCTCTAGAACAGTTGCTTTTTAAAGAATTGTTGCACTTCAACAATTACAGATTAAAAATAATGTTCTTCTGTTATTAAAATTTTACTATAAAGGTTTAATAACAGAATACGCTAATATTGATTATGCGAATTTAAAATTTTGTTCGAAAATGTTGCATTAACACGGTTTTCAAATCAAATCTATCTTAAACACAACAACCACTGAATTTACAAACAATTTAGCCGAATTTACCAGCACTTGGTTGTAAGGGCGCAAATGTTGTACAATTGAAATAAATTTGATATTTCAATATTTAATAGCAAAAATCAAAGTTCTAAGAGAAAGGTTAAAGAAACATCAAAATTCGATTTCCACAATATTTTATTGTTTCTTCACACATTTTTACGAAATTTTTAATCATTTTTGAAATTAATATTGTCAAAATTTAAATTTGACAGCAAAAGAATTGGTAAAATAAAATGTCAAAATCAAAGTTTTTGTTTCAACTTATTTTTTATACACGTATTTGTTTGTATTTCAAAACAAACACATTTTTGTACATGTAATAATTTACGTCATAATTGTATATTATGAATATTTAAAATGGAAATAACTTTAGAAAAAAATATTATGCATATGTATGTATATGTCTAGTTACCGACAAAAAAACACACAATAAAGCGATTGACATAAAAAAACATTAAAACCGTCTAGATAGTTATGTGAATACATACATAGGGACATATGTATTTATATACATACATACACAAACTATTTTGTGTAAAAATTCATTTTTTCGTACTTCGACATTTGGCAGTTTAGAATTAAGTTTAAAATTCTTCTATCTCAAGCCATTAAGGGAGAAGGAATGCATTTAGCATTTTTACATGCATACATATAAAAATAGTAGCTATGCAAAAAATTACGCAAAGTAGACCGAACAGATTGCTTAAAACTCGACAAAACTTCTGGATATGGATGAAACAGAAATTTGTATTCAGCTTTTGGCTTCATAGTCATGAATTTCCTGATATTTTAACCCAATAATTAACCATAAAAAATATTAGTTTTTACTTTCCCAAGAAAAAAATTTTGAAGAGCTTTAAAATTCACCATGTTTTAACCGTCAAAGGCTGCTAAATGACCTTATCAACACTATACTACACTCTGCAGTTTAGTTAACAGATATTGTGTTATCACTTTGTTTGTGGCCAATCTGCTGGAATTTTTGTACTCGGTTTCAACCAAATCAACTATTGGATAAAAACTCAATTGGAGATCGTTGAATAAATCAACTGAAATATGTCTTTAATATAATATTATTAGGGGAATGGAATATCTATTTAAAAAATAATAAAGAAAATTTGTGTCTAAATGTTCAAAAATTCTCTTAAATAGAAGATATGTAAAATTTTATTCTGAAAAGAATAAATTGTACTTTGATTTCCGACTCACTTAATATGAACTATTTTTTGTTCAAAAGTAATTATTGGAACGACAAATTTATCAAACCAATAAATAACAAATTTTATGGCCATTATTATTCATAAAAATGTAAAACAATTTAAAAAATTTTTTCTATAACGGATTTCATGTTAAAGGAATGAGAAAAACGTCTCATTTCAAAAAAAATATTTTTCTCCCTGATTATCCTTCCTTATCGTCATTTTTTAACTTTATATTCCATTTCATTTCATTTTTCAACAAAAATTGGATCTGTCTATTACTTTTGATAATAACAAGAGAGCAAACAAAAAATAAAAAAAAAACAGATAAAAATAGACAATACGGAAACTAAAGAGAATTGAACAATCTAAATTCCAATAAAATGCAAATTTGTCTAAAACAAGAAAAAGAACGGAAAATATTTTTTAAGTTGGAACATTACTTAGGTTTTCATACTTCAATTCAAAACGTTCACATGAAAAAAGTTCAATAAGGATTAGATAATAAGGAAAAAGTGTATGCAATAATATAATCTCTTCCACCCCTTCCCTCCTATTGCCGTTTTTAATCCATGCCTTTTTCTGCTTATTTTTGTGAATGAAAAATACGCTCCTACTATAAAAAGCTCATATATCAGACTTGTCAATAATGTCAACACAAAATTCTTAACTTTTTTGAATTTAAAACTGAAAAAAAATGAATAAAAAATGAATGAAAAAAATTAGATTATTTTCCTAGAACATCTGGATATGCACTGTTTAAGGATAATAGAGAAGAAAGGGAAAAAGAAATAAAAAATATAAAAAGTAGAAAATAAAATTTAAATTATCAACACTTCTAGAACTTGCACATTTTTTACATAATTTCTTTTTTACTGTGTTGTTCGAAAAATTAAAAAAAAAAATTTGTCGGCGATTCTAAACTATAAGGATAGAAAACAAATTTCTCAGTAACCAAAGAAATTATTGAAAAGATCAATTTTGATTTAAAAAAAATAAAAAGAATTTTTATTTTTGATTTTTAAATTTTTCGACTTTCTTATTTTCACATTCAAATTTTCTTTTGTCACTGAGAATATTACACTTCAAACTTAATCTAAGATAATGAATGTATAAATGAAGTATGAAAACTCTTTCAGATCTTATTTAAATAAATTTTTTCCCAAAACTCAATATTTTGAATGTTGAGTAAGTTAAGTAAGTTAAAAGTGACATTTTATTTAGTTTTTCCTTCGTTCAGAATACTTTAATTCTTAAATATTTTGCTATTGACAAATTTACTATAAAATAGAATTGATAATTTAATCCTAAATAATTGCTTGAATGTCAAAACTTTTTCTTTAATATCAAAAACATTTCAGTCTAATTTAAATAAATTAGTAAATTATTATTTCTATATCAAATAAGAATTTGAATAATTTCTGAATTTTGAGAATGAAGTTGAAATTTTGCTAAAAAATAAACCAAAAACTTAATTAGTTTATTAAGTGTCTTGAAAAACAACATTGAAATCGCAATAATTTAATCGTTATTCAAGAGAATAATTAATTTTTTCTGTTCTATTAAGGAAATCTTTTCCCATCTGCCTAAAAGACTCAGTAAAAATAGTTCAAAATAATTTTATTACGTAATTATTTTTGCTTCTTTTTTTAATATTTTATAGAAACACCTGATAAAAAACCAGAAATATGGACAGAACAGCATCATTATGAAGTTGGTGAAATTTTACGAGCAAATTGTTCAACAGCACCATCTCGTCCAAGAGCAGTTCTTAAATTTTCTATAAACAATATTGCAGTAAGTACACATAATTTTTTTTTTTTTAATTAAAGCAAAATTGAAAATTTTTTATTCCAAATTTAAATTAAATACACGAATGTGATTATATATAAAAATTTCAATTTGATTTACTCACTCATAATGCGTTGAGACAACCTAAAAAATGATTTCCTTTTGTCTAAGAATTCGGATTACCAACGTACTACTCTATAGGGAACCCAGTACATGCAAAGTAGATTTCTAAAAATAGAAAATTTCTTTTTAAATGAATGAAATCAGACATTAAAATTGTAAAACAGAATCCAATAAACTTAGAAAACTTTCATTATTAAATTTATTAAATGCAAAAATTTTCAAAAATTTTAATTTCGATTTGGCTTTGTGTAAAAATCTTAGAGCGTAATTTTCGCTCATGTTTAATTAAAAATCTGAAATTTTTCATAGTATATGTTCAATATTCAAATTCTATTGAAATTAAGGACTTATGTTTGATGTTATATTAAAATATTTTGTACCAAGAACATTTGGAAAGAAAGGCTAAATTGTGTTCAGTAATCCCATACAGTAAAAACTTGCATGAACAATTTCTAAAAAGTTATATACTAAATTTGTCGATTGTTATAGATTTTAATCTAGAATGCAGTGTACTTAATTTTATTAACAAATATGTATACAAAAATTATATAATGCCTGAAATATTTTAAAAATATAGTATTAATAATTAGATCTAAATTGAAACTAGACTAGTTCGGTAACTAGGCAATAATCGAATATCTGAGAAAATTCTGCGTAAATACATATTGGGATACAAGTACGATAATTTACTAAATTTTTCAAACTGAAAAGAAATATTAATGGAACAGCATTTATTATTTAAATCATAATCCTTTAAACATTTCATAAATAATTTAGATTCAAATTATGTGTATTATTAAGTAGTACAAAATTTCATGCATTTATGCTTAGTCTCTTCAATTTTAACCTTAATGAATTCTATGAAACCTATTAGCAGAAACTTGGGGAATTTCCACTTGTACATGAAAAAAATATCATAAAACAAATTTCAAATCAAAAGGCTTTAAACTGTTTTTTTTTATTCCTTTTTTTTTAATCTTATTTCCAATTTTCTAAAAATTTCGATGGAAAAAATTCTAAACAATTATTTAAAATATTTCTTCTGTTTTTTCTAGAGGACTAAAGAATACAGGAAGGTTTACATGTCGATGATAAATTAATATTGTATTTTACCTTTTCTGTTTTTATAAAGCTCTAAAAAAAGAAACACGAAAAAAAAAATTTTCTTCAGTTGAAAAATTGACTTTCAAACATTCAATATAATTTAGCATATTTCATATACATATAGCCACCCATAACTATATAAGAAAAATAGCCTAAAAATCCACGTTCCTTAAACCGTTATTAACCTTTTTCTTTTCCTTTTTTTCACCATTTACTTATCCCTTGTTTCCTAAATGGACTCTTTGTTTGAAACGACTATATTTGTTATGGTATGTATACTGAATAACTTTATATAGATTTCTTTAATCGATTTTTTCGTTTCAAACTAAGAACTATTTCTAGCAGCAGCAAATTGTGATCACCAAGTTTTATTTCCAAAAAAAATTTATTTGTTTCGTAATTGATTAGTTCACATTTAAAGTTAAAAAAAATATTGTTTAGTTCGTTCCATATCAAATCTCCAAGAGTTTCTTCAACATTATTGTGAAAATTTTCTAAAAAATTTAATAATTTTCGGAAAACTGTCATAAAAACTGTTTGATTTTCTGGGCGAAATTACTTAAGTCTTTAAACTTTCACAATATTCAAATAATCGGATTCAAGCCACACTATCCAAAGAAATAATTATTTATAAGAATTATCGAATTATACTTATCTAGTATGATCCCATAATATTATATATAATTGTTTAGCTTCTGTGTAAGAGTGAGTAGCTCTCAAAATTAGTATAAAAAGTCACTAACTTATTATTTAATAAATTCCTTTCCATAGATCATATTTTCGGTTCCATCTAATTGGTCCTTTCAATGAAATGCTAACTTGTGTTCCATGTGGAACACAAAGATTTTAAAATATTTTTGGAAAGCAGATATTTTCCTAAATTAGAAAAGATTCAGATTGGAGATTTATATTTTCAGTAGATATGACGCATGTGAAAAAGAATTGTTAGAAACCGGTTCCATAATGAATTTCTGACCGTAAATTACAAAACATAGTTGTAATGACTAGTTATTAATATTAGATTATAATTAATCTCTTCAGGTACAGTTTTTTACTTTATAGAAAATATCACATAGTAGTTAAAGATTAAGCCATAATTTCGGAGGATATATGCTTATTACGCCATATTATAACTATTGAAAATTAAATATGAAAATATTGCATATATTACGGCGAAAAATCTATATCTAGTAAAAAAAGTATTTTCTTCACAAAATTCTATTATTTTCATACTTCAAGTTTTATTAGAGTTTCTTTAGAGAACTTTTGTTGTCTTTAAAAAAGAAAAAAAATTTCAAATTTATTTTTCATTTTCCAGTAAACACAATAAAAAAGAAAATTACAAAAGAAAAATTGAAATATCTTTTTTTTTCTGTTTTACGTAATTTATAAAATTCTGCAGAAAACCCTTCTGGTTGGTAAATTTTTTCCAGTTTACCTGACGACCTTACACATTAAACATGAGTATAACAAGTTTCGTATAGTGTATGGGTTTCTATTTAGGGTTTGGGGAAAAACCTTGTTTTTTTTTCCTTGGTTTGAAACTCAATACAATGAAAAAAATGAATTTATGTTAGTAAAAGCATAATTTTAAAGGTGGATTTTCTAATATGTTGATTTGTTAACAAACAAACGAAAAAAAAAATTTTTTTTTTCTTTAAGGTTGTAAAATTAACAAGGCCTAAACTTACAAGAACTACACATGTATTTGTACATCTTCACAAGACGAAAACGTATAAGGATTTTTCTTATTCCAAATTTACTCAAGTTAAATTTGGATTAAAGGAAATAATATAAAAAAAATTAGAAAAGATATAAGAGATATGGTAATGTACTGGAAAGGCTGGAAAAAAAAGACTACTTTAATGTAGGCTGTTTTTTGGCTTGTTTTTCCCATAAAGTTCAAAGATTTTTCTTTTTTAAAGCAAAAACCATTAAATCTGTTTTAGAAAGGTAAAATAAAAATTCTACTTTATAAGAATAATTGAATAAATGCAAGAAAATTTGAGTTTAAAGCTCGAACTTAATTTATTTTTTATTTTAATATTAATGAACTTAAATTTATATAATAATTCTCATTTTTTATACATGTTCTTGTTTAAGTTGATCTCAACAGAGGGCGATAACTCAGATACGACACCACAAATTATAGCAGGTATCGATAAAGTGTTTAATTAACTAGAAGAAGATGATATTTTTTAATTCCTCTCTTCCCGAATCAGGAATTTATCAGTCTTAAAATTTACGACACTGTAAGGTTTACATTAAATTCTATCGAAAAGTAAAATTGTGTTCGTGCAATCGTATTTTCCGTCCTTACAAAAATTTATACCCTTACGTTTCAACTCAATTTGTTAACAATAAATTTATAATAATATGCATTTTATAGTATGAATCTTCTCGAAGATACACTAATATTTCTATAAACACAAATATTTCTCTTTGATTTATTCAAAATTCTATTGCGATAAGGGAGTACCATTTTCACATTTTCATTATTTGAACCTTAAGCTATATAAAACCAAGCTCTGACCTTAAGTTATTAAAGAGAAACGTGTCATTTTACAAATCATGAGTTGGATTGTTTAAATTTTCAGCAATATTTATGAAAAATCTAAGGAACAACCTTAAATCAAATTTTCTGACGGAAAAAAAGTAATAAATTGTAAATTTTCTTACAGAAAAATAATATTATTGTTTTAATAAAATGTACTACTATTTGAAAAGAAACCGATCAAAACAAATTTAAAAGACATCATACTTATTTGTGAAATTGTTATACAGTGAATATTTTTTCATACGAAGGGCAGAATCGACTGTTCGTTCATAAAATAATATTTTGCATAAATGTTAATATTTTATTAAAAACAATTGAACCTTAAAGGCATTTATCATTCATAGAAGGAAATTCAATTTACAATTTGACAGAAGAACAAACGAATTGAAAAGAGAGAGAGATATACACATTTATTTCTTGTATATTTATTCCACCTATATTATTATTATAATAATATTATGATTATAACAACATAACGTATAACCAAAATATTTTGTAATATATAATAAATTTATAATAATTGTTATACATACATATTTTTTACAATCAATTTATGTATAATACTTGTGCATACATATATGTACATAAAATTTTCATTATTTATTTTATAAAATACCGATTTAATTTAAAATATCGAAAGCCTTATGTTTGTATTTTGTTATACATATATAACAAATAAGTATACACGAATGAATTGCAATAAGTGTATTAAATTGAAATAGTATAGATAGATACATTTATGTAAGTAATGTATTAAGAAAGGGAAAAATAACGTTCAAAACATGATTGTAATAACTAAATTTAAAAATATGTATGTATGTATGTGCATGCTGTTAATATAAGTTTATTGTTGATTTACTATTATGTACACCATATTAAATGAATAAATTTTTATGTAGACAAGAAAATTATTAAAGACTCCATTGAAAATGAATCAATTAAATTTAAAATTTTAAAATTTATCATATTTTTAATTATTAAAGAAAGTATCTACACAGATTAAATAATTTTGAATGTCCTATATTAGAAAACCTGAACACACTTATGAAGATTGAGAAATTTCTGTGAATTTCTACGAAAGATATTAAAATTTAAAATAAACAAATTTTAATTACATTTTAAACAAATCAAATTAATCAAATAAAACTTCAAAATCAATTAATAATTGTAAATGTATAAGTAAAATAATAACATTGATAGATTAATTTCTAATCATTGTCAG